CAAATAACGCCAATATATATATATATATATATATATATATATATATATATATATATATATATATATATATATATATATATAAAAGCATCGACCGACTATTTACGTAGAGATTCCGAAGAATAAATAGTAAACTATTAGTAATATAGCTATAAAATTTACCCTCATGGGAGAATAACAAGAGGTTTCTTGTGGTGAATTGAATGGTTGTCATGATTAGGAATTGGTCTCTTGAAAGACATGATTCCTGTATTCTTGTATTTATTCAGCTTGAAGCCTTGAGTTGATGGTGATGAAGCCTTTAGTCTGCTCAATCAATCAAGCACAAAAAGTTAGAGAAAATGACACTGTATAGCCGCTTTTAAAATAAGTTGAAAATATATATATATATATATATATATATATATATATATATGTATAATCCGTCCGACCTATCCAAATTTGAGCAAGTTAAACTGGACATACTAACGGGTCAAGAAATTAAAAAATAGCCAGATTTACAAGTGGTCATTCAAAAATAGCCACAGTTTCAAAAGTAATCGAAATTTAGTCACTTTTCATGTCAAGACAAATCTGAACGAAAATACTGTTCAAAATCTGGGAAAATACTCTAGTATAATACACTGGAATTCCAGTATAATATACTGGAGTTCCAGTATAATACACCGGTCCAGCATAATATGCTGGAAGTTCATACACATGTGCACCGATCTCCAGTATATTATGCTGGAACTTTCCGTGTTGCAGTAAAATAGTGGCTATTTTTCAATGACTTTGCAAATGCTGGTTATTTTTGAATGATCAGTCCGAAAACTGGCTAGCCCATGCTATTTTTACAGTCATTTGAGCATAACTCGAGTTAGCCCATCTAAGAATCGGTGCCTAAGTTGGGTAGTCTATGTAACTCAAAATAGCCCATAAAATTTAATTACCAAAATAGAAAAAGATTGGGTATATGGTTGGTTTGATAGATACAATATAAATAAAAGAAAGAACAATGGTTGGTTTGATTGAAGGGAAGCCTTGAAGAAACGGGAAAGTTATATTCGTATGATCTGTAGGTTACTGGTTCGAGCAATAAAAGCAGCTACTGCCGGTAAGCTGTCTACATCTTGACCTAAGTAAATTTTGAGCGCGTCCCTATCCGTTTTTAACCCGCCAAATATATAGTATAGGCCGCTTATCTTAACCAAAAGAAATTTTGAGCATGCTTGAACCTTATAACCACTGTAACCCACCCAAAATTAATCCAATCCGCTCATTTAATTGATCAATCATTTATAAAATCAAAAGTACGCAAGAATTAAAAAGGGAGAGAGATATTACATTTTGCAATCAACATTTGGACCAATAGGAAGAGAAATATTAATGTTGCAAAGGTGAGGAATTTGCTTAACTCTTTCTTGAACTACTCCAATAGACAAAGCTTCTTTCTTGAGACATTCACATACATTTTTAAGCTTCAAATCATCATCATTAGTAGCTAATTTTTTCATTAATCCCTTAACACCATTGCAACAAGGAACACTAATATCACCTTTTCCCATTAAAAAACCCTTGCATGGCAAAAGCTTAATAATAGTATTTGGACATTCATTGCCATTAACGGAACTAATTGCAATAATTAGAGCAATAACCACAAACCCGAAAACAGAATTTGAACGACCCATATTTGCTTTTTTGATTGAAATAAATAAATTTGTGATGAAAAGTTAAAGATTTGTGTATATTTTTATAGTAGAAATTTTAGCTTGAAGTTCTTGAGCAAAAGTGTGAGTATGAGAAGTGTATGCATGAAAAATGCAACTTAATTAAAAAGAGTTATAGGTGAAAAGGGTTGGATTTTACATGTGAGCATGTAATTGTTAATAATGTGAACATTTGGACTATCTTATAGTAGCATAGAACATGTGTAATCCACTTGAAAACTTGTTTCTTTATTTTCAAGCAAATGATCATGTTATGTTTAAGTCTAATTGTATCTTTTGCCCTCCCTCTTATTGGAAGAAATATTCAGTCTTACCTTGAAAAAAGAAAAACCACTTTGAAATTGAAATCGATAAAACTCAATATATGTTTAGTTTGATTCATTTTATATATTTAGCTAGCAAAGTTATTTAATTAGTTGGTATAATCTTTTTCATTACCTTGATTCTAATCGAGCCATGAGCAACCCCACTAATACAAGATTAATGGAAACTTTTGTGATCAAAACCAGATATTGCTATTATTTGTAATTGAAATTATATTCATCAGCACTAGGGAAATCATCATTGCATATATCCGCTATAACATTTTCTAAGATAATCATTGATTTCTACCCCTTTTTTGGTGTTGTATTACTATGCCCTGGTATTGTTGGTGGAAAGTCGTTGACCCCCGACCCTTTTGGCGCACCAATACAATTGGTAAATTTATACCTTGGTGTTGTGGACGGATAATCGGTGATCTCTACCCCTTGATTTGGTGGTGCATCACCATAACCTAATATTAGGACTATGCCCTGGTGTTGTGGTTGGGGAATTGTTGGCCCCTGATCTTTTTGGTACACTAATACAATTGGTAAATTTATGCCCTTGTGTCGTGGACAGATAATCGGTGATCTCTACCCTTTTTTTTGGTGGTGGATCACCATGACCAATAACAGGACTATGCCCTGGTATTGTTGGTGGTGAGTCATTGACCCCGACCCTTTTGGCGCACCAATACAATTGGTAAATCTATGCCCTGGTGTTGTGGACGGATAATCGGTGATCTCTACCCCTTGTTTTGGTGGTGCATCACCATAACCAATATTAGGACTATGCCTTGGTGTTGTGGTTGGGGAATCGTTGGCCCCTGACCCTTTTGGTGCACCAATACAATTGGTAAATTTATGCCCCTGTGTTGTGGACAGATAATCGGTGATCTCTACCCTTTGTTTTGATAGTGCATCACCATGACCAATACCAGGACTATGCCCTGGTATTGTTGGTGGAGAGTTGTTGACCCCCGACCCTTTTGGTGCACCAATACAATTAGTAATTCTATGCCCTTGTGTTGTGGACATATAATCGGTGATCTTTACCCTTTGTTTAGGTGGTGCATCACCATGACCAATATCAGGACAGTCACACCCCTTTTTCCCGCCCCCAAAAAGATATAGAATGTTGTGGGTTAAAGAGTTTTTCCAATTAAAGTGACAAATTTGAGTAGGGATTATTTTATTTACAGAGTCGCCACTTGGAATTGATTTTTCGGTGTTTCAAGTCACCATTTATTTGAATCCCTAGTCAAAGAAAATTTTGACTCTATTTTTATCGGTCCGCGAAAATAAAGTTCGGGCAAGGAATTCTATTGACCGGGGAGAAGGTGCAAGGCATTCCCCGAGTCCCGTGGTTCTAGCACGGTTGCTTTATTGACTTAAACTTGGCTTGAATTAATTTGGATAAAACTGTAATTTTATTTGGTTTTCATGTTTTACCTATGTCCGCTTTTATTATTATAGAAAGATTTTAATAAAATTGTCCTGACCGCACCACGCAAGCGAATGTGCGACCGAGATGAATTTTATTTGATTTTTGTCATAACCGCGGACGCTACGCACGCGAATCCGCAGTCATGACGATAATTATTAGTACATCATTACCTTTGGAGAAAATTACTACATTCAAAGAAATTAGTTTTGAAAATTATTAAAAAGTCAACTATCGCGCTACACAAGCGAATCCGCGATTTTAACAAAAGATTAACTAAATTAAGAATTAACTAAAACTAATGGGCATGGTATGAGATTATTGAATTAATTTATCAAATGTTAAAACATAACGCTACGCAAGTGATTCCGTGAGTTAAAGCGCGCCTACTAATTGCCTAGCGCTTAAATTAATTAATTAAGAAAGCGATTAAATTATTTTAATTTGTAGTGGAGAAACTGATTTTTTATTGAAAATTAATTGTGAGACAAACATGGTATTGAAAGTTGGATCAGCCTTGTTAGCAAGTGAAAATGGGCCAGCTATGAAAATACACTTGGTATTGGGCTGCTGAAATTATTTACAAAAGGCCCAGCATCTTATTAAGAAGATATGGGCCTACTGAAATTACTAAAGGGAGATGAACCTTCTATTAAAATAGTTTGGACCAATCACGCTGGCCTAGTATTTCAGCCCAAAAAATTTTTCTATTTCTATTTTTGCAAACCCACTACCCAATATTATTTTTGTCTATTTTTATATTTTTAACCAACTATTTCTTAAGGGCCAACTAATATTTCTACTCATATATACCAACATGGCACTAATCAGACTACACACCCATTAGCAACATAAACACCTGGACTATTTAGTCGAAACTCAAAATTACGGCTGCTACTAAGCATAAAATCAGCAAACCAATAATGCTTTTAATGCTAAAGAAAATTTAACTATCATGGAGACATTATGTTGACTATGACATTTGAAGCTATAAGTCATTAATACATGAACCTTGGAAGTAAATCACAAAAATCCCAATTAAACAAACATGGTTAAAAATGAAGTCTTTATATTTTCCTTAACCGAGTAAACAACTTTGAATGTAAAGGGAACTTGAGTGACTTAACTAACTTCTACGATTCTAGCATATACTTAAAACATGAATAACAAAACTGAATAACATCCATTTCATGTAAAAGTATATCAACAAATTCAAAGAGCCGTGAGCGATCCATATCTTCAGTCATTCGATATCGAGAATCTGTAATACAAAGGTTCAAGGGTTACCTGATTTGTAATAAGATAAAATTCAGTAGTGAAAGGGTAGAAAATCAGCAACAAAGACAGCAGAAACAACGACGAAACAACAGTGAATCCGTGTTAAAACAGCCCAGAAATCTCACTAAAAGTAGTGATTCTTTTGAAGAAGGAACTCAAGAATCAAACTCTAAGACTCTTATATGTTTTTGAAAGATTTTGCACTCTAAGACTCAACCAAAACTCATGAATTTCAGCTTACTTTTCATGTGTTCAACTGCTGAAGTTTTTTATGTTTTTTGTGTTTAAGAAATTCTAAAAAATGTATGGAAGTGTGATGGAGTCCCCCGTTTAAATGTGCAGCCCTTAAATAGGCAAAGAAAAGAACTTTTTGGACAAATTTTGGTTCACCAAAAATCTGTCCAAAAAGGGACTGACTTTGTGTGCTAAAGGCTGTCCAAAAGGTGAAAGGACAGCCTGAAATCTGCTATAGCAGGAGCAAAGAGTCATTTCAGCCACCCTACTAAAAAGTAAGCTACTAGTACCCTATTTTATGATAAAATTATCTAAACTTCAGATTTTAACAACATCAATATCACCATATTGATTCAAACTAAACCAAGTATTAAGACATGTAATTAAACTTCAACACATGAACTATGAACCAACATGAGCAAACAAAAATCAGCTATTAAAGCCAAGCGAAACACACGCTATCACTGAAGCGATTTAACTAACCAAATAGACAAACACAATCAGAAATGGATTAATTAAAGAAACAAGACAGAACTTAATTCTAACTAAAATCCAAGAAAACAGAAAATTAATAACGGGGCAGAGGATTACGATTTTACCATATACTCGAGTGTCCGGGCAGTGACGATAGGCAGTGGTACGACTTCGACAAGCTTCTATTGTTGATATTCTCGAAACCAAAAACTCCGGCGAATCCGAGTCCGGTTTCAATGATATCAATGACACAACCTTGCTCGAGGCTGGTTTGAGAAGAGATACGAGACGCAGTGGTGGTTGAGGGGCGGCAGTGACGGCGGTGGATCGGCAATGGCGGCGGTAGATCGGCAGTAGGGGTGGTCGCCGGTGGTGGTGAGGTTTTTTGAGATTTTGAGTTGGAGATATGGAAAGACGGGGAGAAGAGGAGGCCGGTGGTGTAAAATTTTCGGAGTTTGGGTGGTGGGCGGCGGCTAGGGTTTCGGTTAAGCTTAGATCTACGGAGATTGAGAAGGGTTATGGGATTTTGGGGTCCGGATTCATGGAGAGGAGGTTGAGCGGAAGAAGTGGTGAAATTTTAGGGTGGTTTGGAGGTTGCCCACCGCCGGTGGGCGATTTCCGGCGGCGGAGCTGGGCGGCGCTGGGCAGACCTGGGAGAGAGAAGAGAGAGTGAGGAGAGAGGAAGAAGAAAAGAGAATAGGAAAAAGTGGGGGCCAAATTTCTGATCTTGAAGCCTTATATACATGAAGTGGAGAGTGAATTAGAACCCTTAGATCAAAGTGGTATGAACAGATGAGATTTAATCTCACCTCACTTATCAAAACGACGTAGTTTCAAGATAAAATTACGTCGTTTTGAGCTCTTTCTTGGCCAACCACCTACTGGACCGGGTATGGCCGAATTGGGCTCAAATTTTGGGCCAATTTTAACTAAAATATACTAGCCCAATCCCTTTTCCCTCTAATGAATTAAACTAAAAGTCTAATTCTCAAATCTCCAAACACACACAAAAATAATTATTCAAAACTACAATGTAAAAGAAAGAACGAAAATTAGGCATGTACAAGGACTATGTCCTGGTGTTGTGGTTGGGGAATAGTTGACGCCTGACCCTTTTGGTGCACCAATACAATTGCTAAATCTATGTCGTTGTCTTGTGGATGGGTAATCGTTGATCTTCACAACTTGTTTTGGTGCATCATGATAATTTGTAGAATCATGTTCTGGTC